TTTTTGGTTCCAAAATGGTTACTTTAAGGGAAAAAACGGACACCTCATTTTGAGACATCCCCATATTTTCATTATATATATTTAAATATATATATATAATGTAAAGAAAAGACAAAAAGATCAACAAGGTCAGCTATAGAAAAACAAGCGGTCCTTTTCAAAGGAAATATGAATTACTTTTTTCCATACAAAGGGAAGGAATTGCAGGAAGTGAACTATATTAAGTTCCAACATAATTTAAAAAATGAAATATGTTATCTATATTTTTAAAAACTTAAAATTTGCAAAGAGATGGAAATGTCATTTAAAAAAAATATGTGTTTCCTGAAATTTCACTGTCTAAGCTGATAATCCGAAAAAATAAAAACGTCTTTGAAATAAAAATACATGGAGAAATATACAACATTTATAAGTTTAGATTGATCGAACTCTCGAGCATCAAAAGTTTTTTGCTGCTAGGAATTTTGTAGTCGGTCGCTTTGAACTATTTTTTTGGTGCAATTACTTTCCAAACTCGTAAAAGTTCTGTTCAAGAAGCATCCTTCAGATTGTTTTTCCTTCTTCTGCGCCTCAATGATGGCAACCAGATTATGCTTCTTCTGTGCCGCAGTGAGAGGGAAAATTCCTGAAAGGGATAGTTCCTGAAAAGGATTCATTCTGAATAGAGTAGTTCCTGAAAAGGATAATTCCTGAAAAGGATAACTCCTGAACAGGATGAACCCTAAAAAGAACAATAATCACCATGAAGAAAAAAAAGATGTATTTGACGCAAAAAACTCTTTTCAAAAAGTATATGACGAAAAAACTCTCGTCTATAATCAATGCTAGTCTCATTAAAAAAAAACATAAAAAAGTAAGCAAAATAAGTGAAAATAAGTGAAAATAGGTAAAAATCACTTCTATGATAAGTTCATATAACTACTAATATCTTCATTAAGTGCCTAAAGTAAAAAGATCTTCACTTTGAGGTCTTAGTGGAGCGCAGCGCCAAAGGTGCCAATCAACAGGGACTCCGTCAAAAGGCTGCAGTCCAAGATCTTCAAAGACAGACCGGCTCCCTTTGACCGCCCGACTGTCATTGCTGTTGCGGAAGACCTCTCGGTGTCGAAGGGCAACCTGCGCCGAGTCTCCCCTGAAGAGCCAGAGCATGCCTACTTGTTCGCCCTGAAGGATGCAATCACCAATGGTGAATCGGAAGATGTGCTGTTGCAACTTGTTCGATTTAAGTAAAGTAGTCCAGCTTTGAACCAGCTTGCTGGTTGATGATTGGACCAGCTTGCTGGTTGATGATTGGACCAGCTTGCTGGTTGATGATTGACCCAGCCAGCTTGCTGGTTGATGATTGAACCAGCTTAGTTGATGATTGGACCAGCTTGCTGGTTGATGATTGGACCAGCTTGCTGGTTGATGATTGACCCAGCCAGCTTGCTGGTTGATGATTGAACCAGCTTGCTAGTTGATGATTGGACCAGCTTGCTGGTTGATGATTGAACCAGCTTGCTAGTTGATGATTGGACCAGCTTGCTGGTTGATGATTGAACCAGCTTGCTAGTTGATTGGACCGGCTTGCTGGTTGATGATTGGACCAGCTTGCTGGTTGAAACTGTTTGGTTGTTTCAGCTTGCTGGTTGATGATGGTACTATCAGTTTGCATTTAGAACATGGTTCCGTGCCCAGGCAGTTTTTTGCCATTGATTTTGAGCATTTTTTCTGAGGCAGTACAAGCGGGTGGCACTGTGCACATCCATGATCTTCGAGATGTTGCCTACGTTGAAGAAGGTTTTTTCCGTGGCGTTTCTTGCCTTCAAACTTAAAAAATAGTAACTGATATCATCAAATGTCCACTCTATGTACACAATGAGCTTTGGTTTTTATCCAGGTCAACTTGCGAAACAATATCATCGATGAGTTGAGGTGTGGGACTCCGCCGGCAGATCCGTGTTGCTCACGGCAGTCCTGTATGCATCTGCGGACGACATCTATGGGTGGTGCATGCTTGGCCTTTTCCAGACAGACTTGAAGGTCTGGAAACACAACCCTCTTTAGCAACGACCAGTGGTAAGACCACTGCTGGTCAGGAATGGACTGACTACCAGTGCCTGGAATCAAATGGTGAAAATGATTGTCACCGATTGAAATTTTGAAATGATAACCTGAATTGGCTAGCTTGCTGGTCCTGAAATGGCCAGCTTGCTGGTGTTGAAATGGCCAGCTTGCTGGTCCTTCAAATTTGTTCTTCCAATGGCGAAGCACCGCGACTGATAAAGTGTTTGTTTGCATGGCCAGATTGCTGGCTGATCATAAATGTGCGCTGCCAGCTGGCTTGACTGAAACTTACACTTGACTGCCGCAAAATTTCCCAGGCCAAATGTCGTCCATTGTCAAGAGCCTCATTTGTATCCATGGGAATGATGCGACCACCGCCCCCTTCTGTGACTGCGAAAACCATCCAAGCCAGCAAAATGGGACAATGGACGCGAGCCAAGGAGAAGCCAGCGCCATGCCCGATGATGGTTCAAAAACGCCTCTTGCACAGGATGCCGCTGGAGCTTCTCAAGGCGAAGTACAACTATTTGAGGAACAACTCCGCGGCTTGGATGTTATTGCTGTTCACTGACTGAGGTTTGATTTTGTTTGACCGACGTTTTTCAAACTATTTTCGCTTCTTTTCAGCCTCAACTCAGAAGTGGCTCTCAAGCATAGACTTGGAAGAGGCCATGCGGAAGATCATTCGCCGATGGTCGGGCTCCCTTCGAGCTCCGATTGAAATTGACGCAAATCAAATTGAGCCCAAGAAGCAGTGTACTGACACTCACTGTGGGCATCACCCGTCGCCATGCATGTAAAGAAAGGGCCTTTGGCAAGTGAGCTGGCCAGTCAATGTCTTGTAATAAATTAAATGTAAAATATAGACAACAAACTGGCCAAAAGACCCTTACGGTGTTTGGCCAGTTTGTTGTTTCATATTTTGTTTCATATTATGTCTTACTCTTGCCAACTAGCTGGCCTCTTAGCCGTTTTGGGGTTGTTTCAGTTGCCAGCAAGCTGGCATGTGGCCAGCTAGCTGGCCGCTTTTTGCAATCTTCCTCATTCTGAACAGATGCGTCAGTGCCACCTTAGCACACTGATCTTGGCTGTTCGAATTTCCATGAATTTTGATCCTGGCCAAAATATCATTAAAGATTCCAAAAAAAACAGCATGGATGTTTCCAAGAATGGTTGTTTCTTTAGCATGGATGCTTCACTGGCATCTGACTTGGGCAATTTTCAGTGAAGGTGATGCTTCTTCAGCATGGGAAAATGCATGTTATGCTTCTGCAGCATGGGGCAATGCATGTGATGATGCTTCTTCAGCATGGGAAAATGCATGTTATGCTTCTGCAGCATGGGGCAATGCATGTGATGATGCTTCTTCAGCATGGGGCAATGCAACATGATCCATTAATTTTAAGGGCAATAATGTGATACAATTGATCTATTAATATTATTAATTAGCCCATATTTAAATACATTTGGTCTAGACCTTATTTAACTGAGGCAACTGGCCTTTCATTTTTTATTTTGATCATGTCATAATTATAATAGTACAATTCCATTCTCCAACCAACTCATCATCACAAATGGATATTTTTAACCGGAGACACTGGTGTAAACATTGAACCACATCATCAAGCACTTGGAACTTGCCATGGGGCATAGTTTTTGTATTCCCTTATTCCCGCTTAACCGCCAGTAAGTTTTACACACAGACAAGTCCGGCACAGGAAAAATCGCAATTTTACCTCAGTTTTTGCCGATCGACCCTCATTTCGTGCGAAAGGGTTGCTCCGGCACAAGTAAAATCGCAATTTTACCTCAGTTTTTGCCGATCGACCCTCATTTCGTTTGAAAGGGTTGCTCCGGGGCAAGTCAAATCGCAATTTTACCTCAGTTTTTGCCGATCGACCCTCATTTCGTGCGAAAGGGTTGCTCCGGGGCAAGTCAACTCGCAATTTTTCCTCAGTTTTTGCCGATCGACCTTCATTTCGTGCGAAAGGGTTGTTCCGGGGCAAGTCAAATCGCAATTTTTCCTCAGTTTTTGCCGATCGACCCTCATTTCGTGCGAAAAGGTTGCTCCGGCACAAGTAAAATCGCAATTTTTCCTCAGTTTTTGCCGATCGACCCTCATTTCGTGCGAAAGGGTTGCTCCAGCACAAGTCAAATCGCAATTTCTCCTCAGTTTTTGACGATCGACCCTCATTTCGTGCGAAAGGGCTGACGTTTCGTGACTCGCCGCCGGCACCACCCTCGGCCTTAAGAGAGAAAGATAAAGAAGGCGAGAGAGTGAAAAGGGAGAGAGAAAGGAGAGAAGATGTGAAGATGAGCAGATGTGAGAGAAGATGTGAGAGAAGATGTGAAGATGAGCAGATGTGAGAGAAGATGTGTGAGAGAAGATGTGAAGATGAGCAGATGTGAGAGAAGATGTGAGAGAAGATGTGAGAGAAGATGTGAAGATGAGCAGATGTGAGAGAAGATGTGAGAGAAGATGTGAAGATGAGCAGATGTGAGAGAAGATGTGAGAGAAGATGTGAAGATGAGCAGATGTGAGAGAAGATGTGAAGATGAGCAGATGTGAGGGAAGATGTGAGAGAAGATGTGAGAGAAGATGTGAAGATGAGCAGATGTGAAGATGAGCAGATGTGAGAGAAGATGTGAGAGAAGATGTGAGAGAAGATGTGAAGATGAGCAGATGTGAGAGAAGATGTGAGAGAAGATGTGAAGATGAGCAGATGTGAGAGAAGATGTGAGAGAAGATGTGAGAGATGAGCAGATGTGAGAGAAGATGCGAAGATGAGCAGATGTGAGAGAAGATGTGAGAGAAGATGTGAAGATGAGCAGATGTGAGAGAAGATGTGAAGATGAGAAGATGTTTTACAGACCCCCACTATTGGAAGAACCCTGCGCTCAGACGCTCTCGGGAAAAAGAGAAAGAGAGAGGGAGAGGCGTGGCAATGCACCTCTTAGCCCTCCAAATCAGCTCCCCAAAAATCAGTTTTTTCGCCGGCGCCTTCTTCAGTATAGGCCACGGACATACACAGCAAGCGCCCCGCATTCAAGGCCGTGCAATCGCGGAAGTCCACCACATCATTGAAGGTGGCCTGGCCAGCAATGGCCAGGAAGGGACTTGGGCATCCCTCATCCCTGGTGATCAACCTGAAAACATCTCCCAACCATCCAACCATCATTCAACCATCATCCAACCATCATTCAACCACCATTTAACCAACCATCCAACCACCATCCGCTGCCCACCTTGATGTAGCGCCTGCTGTGCGTCCGCACCCAACTCCGCGAGCCCAGCCGTGGCCGCGGCAGCCGGGGGAAGACGTCCAGGCCGCGGCTGTCCGGCCAGCAGTAGTCGCCTCGAAAATCGTTGCTGTCCGGGGCTGCTGGAAATCGCTGGTTTTGTTGAGAAAATTGACACCGGAAACCATGGCTTTTCCCCTATGAACTATGGATATATGGATACATCCAGAACTTTACCCGGCCTGGTTTCATTGGTTTCTACATAGAAAAAACGATGGAAAGATCCACCATGTTATAGCTGGGAAAATCATGGAAAATCCACTGTTTCGACTGGGATATGTTCAATAGCAAACTGTTTGGACAAACCAGAGGGTAGTGATCATGGTGAATCGTGGTGGCTTAATGGTGAAGAGTGGGTCAATCATGGTTACATCTTAGAATACATGATTGAATGGTGATTTAATGGTGTTGGATAAAGGTGAATAGTGATAATGGATGATAATGGTAGTGATTAATGGTAATAGTGATAATTAATGATTAATGGTTTGATAGTGGTTGATCATGGTGAATAGTGATAGTAGTGGACTGATTAATGATTAATAATGATGAAGAGTGGACATCTTAGGAAGTAATGGGAGAACAAGATGTGAAAAAAAATCAGGAAGAACATTTGGGATGATATGTGTAGGATAATGATTGGATTGAAAGGATAGTTGGGATTGTAAGAGGGATGATTAGTAGTAATTAAGTATATAATACTTCCCTGGAATTGGTCATATTCTGGTTTCACGGTTTCACCTCTGGGCTATTTGGTGTTGTTGGGAAATTCAGCAGGTTCCCACACTTTTTTTTCTTACCAGAAGATCATCAAGCCCATTCCTGGGCAGATTATGACCACTTCATGAACTGGCTGTGTCATGGGATTTTTCGGGTTTTGGGTCTGAAAAGGGATCAACACCATAGCCTCTAGAATTTGCATGATGCTAGCTGGATTTTGAGATAGCCTCTGGTAAACAACAGTTTGCTATTGAAAATGGCTATTTATAGTTGATTTACCCATTAGAAATGGTGGATCTTTCCGTAGTTTTTTCTATGTTTACCAGAGGGCATTTCCAGTTTTCAGACAAACTTCCAGGGGTACCTTGACAAATCAACCCCGAAAACTCTATGGCATGTTGCAGGGGTTTCCCGAGATTTTCAGATACCGGGTTTGTCTGAAATAGTGGACCTCCAAACTTACATTGTTTATCATATGTTCCCTATCAAGATAGCCATATCTGGGGGTTGATCCCCCAAGCACCCACCCAAAGCAATGTGATTTCACATCCGGCCCCTCTTCGTCACTGTGTTCCCAAACGTCGCGGCAGTTCCAAGGGAGCTCCTAGACGCTCCTCCTGGAAAGGCTCAAGTTACATGGGATCAATGGCACATCATTCATCAACCCCATTGATTTGGGTTTTTACTATAACCTCTGGTATAGAAAATAGCCTCTGGTAAACAGTTTGCCATTGAAAATGGCCCAGTCGAAATAGTTGATTTAATGGGATATAATTGTTTTTTTCATCCACTTCATGGGATATACCCTCTGGTAAACTAACAGTTTGTTATTGAAAATGGCCCTAATCGAAATAGATGGTTTACCGAACTGAAAAATTGTGATTTTCCAGTTCGCTATGTAACAAATTACCAGAGGGTACCCCTAGATCCAACTCTTTATCATCATTCCTACCGCAAACCGTATCGCCATTTATGGTGATATACCCCATTTTCAAACGCACCCGTATCCATGATTCATTGCTTAAATCCCTATTCTGAAATCCACATGACATCCCATAACTGGGTGGGTTGAACATGGTTGAACCTTCATTTTGAATATCTTTGAGAGATAGATCCCTCCAAAACAAAGCTTTGATGACGCACCAATCCCATGTGGATGAAGGTTGCGCTCATCGTTGCACTCCTCCTCCTCCTCACCCGCATCATCTAACAGCTCCTTGGTCTCCCGCGTCATTGGGGGTTGGCCTTTAAACCATGGAATAAACATCCAAATTCACAAAAGTCGAAGTTCGACAGGCCCACACTTGATCATACTTGGATGGGCATCTTCAATTATAAAAATATGCTTAAAAAACAAAAATATCAAAAACATCAAAAAACAGCATCCAAGGCTCTCTATGGTGATGCTCCGTCAACGCCTTCTGCCCCAAGAAGTCCGGTCCCCGCGCGCCCGTCTTGCGCACGTGGTCCAGGCGGTCGCCGCCGGCCCAGATGCCCTGCAGGGGGAAGGGAACGGAGGCGCGGCCGCCGTAGGTCCAGGTGTAGTCGAAGCCTGGGACGCTGGGAAATTCCTGGAAAAATTCAAGGTTGAAACTCAAAACCCACGAGAGTTGATGGTAAAAAGTCTGGATTTCTGCGTTTTTTTCCGTATATGAAGTGCAATGTTCAGTAGGAAATCATCTATAAACACATAGATCAAGGGTTATATTCGGGATTCAATGGGTTAGAATCTGTCTGACAAGGGTGGATTTACTGTCAATTTGTATCCTATTTTTGATGAGGAAAATTACTAAATTATGACAAACCCAATGGATTTTTGAATCCACGGAAGCCAGTAGTTGGTTCATTCACATGGGTTGATTTGAGATGATTTCACGAGAAATTCGCTAGAAACGCGCAATTGTTGGTGTGGTCCTGTTGTTTTTGTTCCTACATTTTCCTTGAACCAATTATTTGCAAAGAGTCCACATTATTTACAGCCACGATAGTGTAGTTCACAGAGTTTTGTTCACACCTTCAAGTGTTATCTCTATAAAGATAACAAGATAAGATACCGAAAGTCTTTGGGAACCGTCTCAACTCCCAACCCATGATTTGTGACGAACGCTGCGAGCGAGTCACCGTACTGCTTGGTCTTCCGGAGGTCCTCCTCTTTCTCGGCCTCATAGGCCTGAAGCTTGGCGCAGCGAAATGGAGGCCAGCGAGATATGGTCAGATGTGGTCAGGGTGAGATGTTACCCGGGATCTTTCTTGCGAGGGGCTGCCACCTCCAAGTCATGATCATCATCATGATGATGATGATGATGATGATGACGATGATGATGATGATGATGATGATGATGATGATGAAGCAAATGGCAATGGTGCTGGTGATGTCTTTCTCCATTCCCATCCGAACATTTGGGGTCCCCCCATCCGCCTCTCCGATCTTTTCGATCAGCCAAAAGACCTCCAACGCAATCTCCTGGCGTCGCATCCACCCCAGGAAGTCCCAGTCATTGGCCCTCAATGGGCCCAATTTGTCTGACTTCAGAGTTCAGGGATGCCCAGGGGCTGTTTCAGAGAAAAAGTCAATGGCAGCAGTTGAAATGATCAATCAAGATTTACATAGATTTACTGTCATTAACCCGCTTGATGGCGTAATCTGGGGTAAGTTGCTCTATCCGCACAGTGGATAAATTCAGATGAAGGATGATATCAGCCATGGCAACGCCCACAACCTCGTTCTCATCACAGAGACCGGTCAAGAGATACGGAGCGATGTATGGTTCTAGGTCGACCTGGCCCACAATTCGACACCAGTTGGAGGATCCACTGATTTGGGGTAATTGATTGAATTGAAACATTTGCACTGAACATCATTATTGGATATATTACCCCAAATATCCCCAAATGGATATCCAAATGGATATATTATCCAAATTGTTTGATATCCAAGTTGATTATGTTTATATATTATGGATGTTGAATAATTTGGATATATAAACATTTGGATATATAAAATTATATAAACATATTCAACTTTGGCCTACCCAATGTGTACCTATGCCGTCCTATGCCCACTTCTTCCCCTGGAAAAAAAATCAACTTGAAGACTTAAATTAAAGGCCACTACTTTGTAAACAAATGGGTCAAGAGTTTTGCCTTTCAACGTACAACACAGAGCAGTCTCAGGAGATGAGTCTGCTTCAGAATCGGGCATGCCTGCTGCAACGGCATGCCCGACCAGGATGAAATCCTACTATAGTCCTATACTTTTGCAACAAACATATACATGATAGATGTGTCCAAAACCGATGCCTTCCCCACATTTTCCCCAAACAAAACTGAAATGTTAGACATGTTCCATCAAAAAACTCCTAGTTTCCCCACATTTCTCCCTTCAAAACCTTCAATTTTCACCATGATTTCACCCTGTTTTTCCCCCAAAAAAAAGTGGTCCCCAACCCCAAGGCCGGCCTTGTCCACGCAGCGCAGCATCCAATGCGCCAAGGTCTCGAACCAGAAGCGCCGCACCGCCGGGTGCCGGTCGAAGCTCAGGGTGGACATGTAGTTCACCTTTTTAAAGCGAAAAGGGCCGCGGCTGGAGGATGTTTTTGGACCTTCCATAAATGATGATTTTCCAACTAGTTGTTAGTTGGTTCTATATCCCCATCATATTCCCATTGTTGTTGGTTTATACATGTTTATACCCTATTAACCACTATTAATCACTATTAATATAACCATCACTATCTGGTTGGTGGTTTCAACCTAACCCTCTGAAAAATGATGGAGTGAAAGTCAGTTGGGATGATGAAATCCCAATATATGGAAAGTCATGATCCATTCATGTTCCAAACCACCAACCAGATATATTGTTATTCCAATTATTAACCATTATTAACCATAGATTAACCAGGAAAATTAACCATGGTTCCCAGTCACCACCAATAGCATGGGATAGCATGGGCAAATCTGATGGGAATGATCTGGGAAGATCTAATGGGAATATCATAGGATATATCACTAACAATGTCTGGAATACAATGGGAATATCTATATAATGAGAATATCTATGTATTGGGAAGAGGAGATATAACCAGCAGATATGCAAATATATGTAAGGGATGCCACAAATAATCCACAGATGGTTATGTCTAAAAACAGGGTACCATGGTTTTGAACCTCATTGTGACTCATTGTGCCCAAAATTGCCCCAACTTGGGGGTTCGGGTGTAGCCCATTTCCAGACACACCAAATGTCTGGAATAGAGTTTTTATTGGAGGGCATGATCATTTTGACATCATGTTATGCTCTAATTCACGATGATTAACGATTAACTATAGAGAATCTTGGGTCAGAATGTCAGAGATGTCTGGGTAGCCTCTGGCTTTGAAAACCAAGCTAGAACATTCATGAAAACCGTCCCATTTGGTAATCCTTTGTAGATATAGTCATGGCATTGTCGGATCTTGGTCAACTTTTATTTTGTATCTAACACCACCATCCACCATTCAACCAACCCTCTAGTTTTCCAACAAAAAAACAAAAACACACAGAATGTATCACGTTGTAGCCTCTGGCCAACATCATTTAACAGTTTGCTCTTGAACAATGGCCAAAGTTCGTTGATTTACCGATTTTTTCCATGGGGATTTTCCACTTCGCAAACTACCAGGAGGGTATCCTCCATGGGGTGCCGCGCCAGGGCGCATTGGTGACGCCTTCGTAGAAGGCCTTGATGGGAACCTTGTTGGGGTCCTGCCAGGCCATCAACACCTGAGGCGCTGGCCCGAGGGCCGGAAAAATGGAAAAATCATGGGGAAGATGCATGGAAAATGCTGGGAATCTACGGAAAATACCGGGAAGATATGTAGGAGAATCATCTGTCAATCATAGAAAATCAAGACGAAACATAGCAAAATATCATCTGTAACATCTGCAGATGATGGATTTTCCAGCATGCCTGCTTATTCATCACGAGCGGGTACACTGTAGATGAAAATTAAGCTTATCCACTACAGTTCAGCACATGCTGCGAAGCACAACAATTCTCGGGCAGTGCCTGAAAGATCTCGAAGTTGTGCTTCCACACCTGACGCTTCCACAAGAACAAACACACACCAAAAATCCAATATGGAATCAATAATAAATTTCCCATGATTTAGAATCTCATCTTTTGGATTTACACAATGGAGGGAGTAAATTTAAGTAGCAAAATTGATTAGGGCAGCATGAATATAGGGCCTATATCTT